GAACAAAGACGTGATTTGAGGCTCTAATCGCCATAAAGACGCAGATTTGATTTTAAATATTTCTTAAATCCAGACTCGATGAGTTCGGTCCTATTTCCTGTCCTGTTCTGTGGTTTTAGGAGAAACCCAGATGAAGGTTTATTGTCTCCTCTTCATGTCATTGATGTCTTCGTCACCGTTATTTATGTGACATTTAAACAGCAGCAGAGACAAACGCTGTCGATGAAGTCCACTTCTCAGAAACATTTACAGCGCTTGTCTCGTTTTTTGCTTTTTACTTTGTCTTCTCCGGCTGCAGCCGGCTTCCGTACCAACTTCCTGTTTGTTTTCCGCACAGGTTGAGCGTCTTGTTGCCATAGCAACCGGTCAACTGGACACCGGAGGACACAGAAACAGGTGAGTCACCTGAAGATGGAACAGCAGCAGTACTACAGTAGAAGTACNTAAATGTTCCTGATACGGAACATTTCCCTGCTCAGAACCTCACTGAAAAAACAGCTACTTTAAGTTGCCTCACACGGTTGTCAACACACTCAGACCGGCTGAACCACACGAATTTGACCGACATTAACTGTTTGTGTTTGGATTGTATTAACGCCGAACCGACGAACGGATCCGGTATAATCGGGTTTCACACCTGCTGCTACTTTCACGCGGTTGTAGCTCCGCGAACTAACCGGCAGAGATGTAAATAGTGGTATTTTGAACGGAGTCTGGTGCTGCTGTTTACAAAGAAGAAGCGCACGGAGCGGGACGGAGGAGCTGCGGTACCTTTCACGTCCTGGGCCAGAGCTTTCCATGTGCTGGAGTACTGGATGCAGTGTCCGCACCAGGAGGAGAAGAACTGGACCAGCCAGGCCGACGACGAGTTAGTGACGGTGGTCTTCAGGCTGCCGCTGCTCAGGATCACCAGCGGGTCCTCCTCCGTGTACAGCCGCGCTGCGCCTCCCAGCGCCCCGCGGGCGAGCCACAGCACCACGGCCGCCTCCAACCACAGCCGGAACATCCCCGCCGTCTGTGGGCAAACACACCGAGGTCAGGCGGTCAGAGAGCCGGAGAGTTTATGCCGAGAAGGAGGCGGTGAAGCCGGGGAGACATGAGAGCAGCGCCCCGCTGACCGCCGGAGGTCCGACAGAGAGAGGGCCGGACAGACGGCTCACTCCGAGCCGGATTCTGAGGCCCGACGGGACGAGCCGAGACACACAGAGGCTGGATCTGGTCAAAGATTCTGGACCTGCGACATGTGCTTTTACTTTTACAGTTTCATTACTATTTAAAGATGACCCCAAAGAGACTCAAAGCGAAATAAAGTTGATTATTATTATTGTTATTATTATTAATATTATTATTGTTGTTGTTGTTATTATTAATCAGGTTGTTGTTGTTGTTGTTGTTGTTGTTGTTGTTGTTGTCATTTAGGGCTACATATTCTGTATTAGATGCCAAAGTTTGTCCCTTTTTTAAACCAAGAAAGACGAAGTGAGGTCAGTGAGCGGTGGACGCTGCTTCATCACAACATCTGGATTTATGCTCACTGGTTTATATTTTACAGACAAAAGAAAAGATGATTTAAAAACAAATTAAATCTATAAGAACATCAAAAGTTGCTCGACACAGAAAGCCGGGGACTGAACCGAGTCGCTCCTGTTCGTGGAGACGATCTTTGCTGAGCTAAGCGTGACGTGGCCGCCGTGCTGCGTTCAGGTTCCAGCACATAGAAAAGGAAACCTGCAGACAGAAGTTGACTCGGAGTGATCAGCTTCATTCAAAGTGCAGCGAACTGAGCGACGTTTTCCTGAACAGCAGCTTAAAGGAGAAAAGCTTTCTGAGAGAATGATCAGGAGACCAGACAGCTTCAGAGCTAAATGTAGTGAAAGAAATAGATTTGGGCCTAAAAAAGCAGAATTTATGAACGTTTTCTACACACACGTTCAGAAAGACGAACAAACTGCATCTGTCAGAGCTGCAGAGAACAAAAACGGGGGCAGAAAAATGCATTTTAAAAATCAAATATTACTTTTAAACTGTGCAGTAAAAAGAGAACCAACAGTCAGAGCAGACCACAGTTTTTAAACCAGTGTTTTCATCAGATCGTAACTGTGCTGTTTAGAAGTTTTCCATTTTCGACTCAGACCGTGAATGCATCAGCGCTCTCTGCCGCCCCCCTCAGGACAGAGTAACGGAGTACATTAAGTTACAATAAGTAACGACCTGTAGTATTTCCATTCGTGGTCGGACCTCCTGCAGAGACGTTTGAATCCCGGAGCCGGACCGGGCCGGGCCGGGC